ACATTATTGCATCTATTTATCACTCTGGGGGGATTCCCAGAAACAATGTAAACAAATGATCACTCAACTATTCCTTCATCATAGTATATACCATTTGTGAGATCAGACCATGCCTTCGACATGGTGGTGGTAGTACGAGGGAAGACTGATTGAGGGAGGGGGAGAACTCTGGGAACTTGGGCTGGAGTTCTGGGCAGCTTCTACCTGTAGCTAGAAGGCTGGACCCTCATAGCTGTATTAGGACTGAAATAGGACTGAGGAGCAGGGAGGACATGGGGTGGTGGTGGGGATTGCGAACCCTTAGTGATGGGAATGGAAGGTGAGAATGTGAATTTATAGGGCGTTAGATTGGAAGAAGGAGGGGTTTCAGGCATGTTCCTCCCTCTAAACTTCAGTTATAACATAACTATGTTTTGTAACTAAATGTTTCATGGTTGAACCTGTTTTGATCATTTTACTGAAATGTTCTATTTGAAATTATTTCCTTTACTCATTTAAAATGGCCTTAAAGTAAAGTAAAACCTACAGTACCAATACAGTAGGGCAGAAAGAAACACACAAAATTTTAGGGCATTAAAATTGGCTGGAGGATTTTTTTCCCTCTAAATTATCTGTGTAAACTGTACTTTTTAAAGTGCACCTGATCTCCTGAAGCTCTGTGCAGATCCAGTTACCTGAGGCCAGCGGCTCTGACGCTGCTTCAGCCTCTCACTGACAGATCTTTTACAGATCAGAGACGCTTAAAGGACGAACAAGAGGCATGAGGCACACTGCCAGAAACACACACTGCTGCGGTCAGAAGGCACAATTCATATCAGTTACAAGGAGCTCCCTGAAAAAACTGGCAAATATATGAACAATATGAAGAGAGTCTGTTTGTGCATAGAGCATGAGGAAGAACCACTGAGAGGAACCAAGACTCAAAAGGCGAACCTCTCTAAGAGCATGAGGAAGAACATCTGAGAGGAACCAAGACTCAAAAGGAGAACCTCTCTAAGAGCATGAGGAAGAATATCTGAGAGGAACCAAGACTCAAAAGGAGAAACTCATGAAGATCATGAGGCAGAACCACTGAGAGGAACCAAGACTCGAAAGGAGAAAGTCATGAAGAGCATTATTATCAGTGTACTGTAAAGTCATAAAGTATAGTAGAAGGTTAGTGTTAGGCTGCTTGGTTTCCTGCTCATTACCGTTTTAGAACAAGCTGATGTGTCTAAACATCGATACAGAGCTGTTCTTTAGAGGATTCATGACTCTGACAAGCTACTAAAACAGAATGGCAGCTGTAGAGGGAGGGAACAGGAGTGCTTTCCAAATGAGCCGTGAAACGGGGCAGCATTACAACGAGCAGTCCAGCATTCATTAGATCAGCCTGCACATTTAAAAATAAAGGTGCTAAAGGGGTTCTTTGCTGAATGCCATAGAAGAACCATTTTTGAGACATCACCTAAAAGCAAAAATGGGAGACACAACTGAAAACAGAATAAAACACAAAACACTTTATATCCCTTAGTACCATCAACCCTCAGCCCTACACTCTTAAAAATGGTTCTTCAAGGGTTAGTAAAGAAAATGATTCTATATAGAACCATGAACACTCAACGAACCCATTGACCAATAGAGGACCCAATAGCAGTGGGTTCGTATTCTCTGGAGTGATGGAGCTCCATCCAGTACCTTTGGGATGAGCTGGAGTGATCCGGACCTGACCATCCAACATCAGTACCTGACCTCACTAATGCTCAATCAAATCCTCACAGCAGTGCTCCAACATCTAGTGTAAAGCCTTCCCAGAAGACTAGATTAACACCCTTTTTTAAGAAGAACTCATGTGTTATAAACAGAGGTTATGGTGACCAACAGTGCTGGACGCATCATTCATACTGCCAGTTTATCATGTTATGTCAGAAATAATCAATGTGCTGCTCTCTGGGAATAAATGGACGTCCTGCAGGGGAAAAATACATAACATGGCTGAATTATTCTGTTCAAGGAGCAGCAGAATGGAGAAACTAACATTCCTGACAGTCCTGAATGGTAACATTTTGCTCATCTGAGAGATTAATGATGAGGGCAAAGTAATGAGGAAAAGGTATATTTTTAATTAGATTAGACCACATTATGAAGACCATCACATATAGGAATCTAGGAGCCCCAAAGCGTGATCATGAATTAATATATCATTTTATTGAGGCCACAAACGAATATATCAAGGCCACAAGTTAATATATTGAGGTCACAAATTAATATATTGAAGTTATGAATTATTATACTGAGGCCACAAGATAATAAATTGAGGCCACAAATTAATATATTTAGGCCAACAATTAATATATTGAAGCCACAGATTATTATACTGAGGCTATTAATTAATTTATTGAGGCCACAAATTAATATATTTAGGCCATAAGTCCACAAGAAACTTAACTTGTGGCCTCATTATATTAATTCATAGCCACTCCTTATTAACAAGTAATCACCATGTCACCTTAGGGGCTTCGTAGGAATGACTGCCACATGAATACACTCTTAAAAAAAGATGGTTTTCCAGGGTTTTTAGTGAAGAAAAATGTTCTAAGTAGAATCATGAACACTCAAAGAACCCTTTGCATGCTATTCTGTTGTTGCAAGCTTGACACCTTAACAATAGAAGAACACTTGTGGGTGCTATATAGAACCATTTTCAAAAAGGTTCCATATAGAACCATGTGCAACACATTCTCCATCAATCTGAAAAAAACATTTCACCATGCAAAGAACCATTTAAGCACACACATCGTTCTTTAAAAGAACCCTTGAAGAACCTCTTTTAAAACTGTAGTAGTTTTTTGAGCTGAAAAAGATACTTTTACTAAAAAGATAATATAAAATATACATTTACTTGAGTTACTGTTTGACAGACATAGCAGTACTTTTTTTTCCTGGAGTTTGGATTTATATTCATCATCATTCCAGTGTTTCAGAGCGGGAGTGCATGTGACCGCCAGGTGGCGCTTCTGTTCTCCCGTTTGAGATTCACCTCAACATGAGCGCGTTTTAAACTGAAGCCTGTTTATGTGGACTGAATATTTATCAAAGCTTTAAGGCGGAGATTTGGGGGGAAATTAGCACCAATAACGCGGGAAATATTAAAACATTGTTACAGCATTAGATTAATAAAGACTTGCTACACTGTTTACCTCATTAACATTTTACCAAAAAGGGCGTCTTTGCGCGTTTCGTTTGCAGTGTTTCGTTTGCAGTGTTGACAAAACAGTTGATTATAGCTGCGTTTATTAGCCAGGTTATGGGCTAATTTGGAAATTAGCATTTAAAACCTCAACCTGAAACACCTGTTTATCAAAACAATTAAAAAAGAAAAAAAAAGCCCAGTTTGCTGGAAATCAGCGACACCAAAGGTTAAATTTCCTTTTCCTGCCTTAATTAAGTGAATTTCTGTAATTAATTAGACTACGTTTTTGTTTTTTATTTTATTTTAGAAAGATTGCTGTGCTCGTACCGTAATAACAGTACAATAATAAACTGCATTTTTTTCATTTTAAACAAACACACAAAATAATAGCAAATGATTAAAACACTGCAGGATCAATAATAAATCGTACCGCTTTCGCTCAATCATTGTATCATCATTAATATAAGCACAGACCTGATCATTCAGAGACTAATATACTAAAGCACCTGAAATAAGCTGAAGCCTACAATTCTTTATTATTTTGTTGTTTTAAAGGGGAATTCCACCTATCTCTGAAAAACGCATAATTCAGTATTTATGGTGGTGATAGGAACCAGGGGTCGCCATGTCTCCAACAAAAATATAGACATGTTATTTACTATTCAAAACCACCAGTGAACCTACACGAGTCTTCTGAGTTTATATGCAGGGTTGATGATGGAAAATCTGGAAAAAATATGTTTCTTTGCTTTGTCTGTAGCCGTCCGCCATGAATGGAATTAAAAATATATGTTTTATGCCCAAATCTTCTCAAAATTACTCAAAACAATCTTAAAACAGTGTCTCAGTCATCAGGCAGCGCATTCAGAGCCATTCCATGTAATAACTTTCTATGAGGGAGCTTTTAGAGGCGTTAAACTCTCCAGATGTCTGGTTCCTATCCAACACCACCAGTGAGCCTGCACGTCTTCTGAGTTTTAAATTGAATGGTGATGATAGTAAAATAAGTTTTAATTAAGGACTAATTTGCCCTACAACGCCTTGTATGTACCTCTCCATGATGGCTTTTTGAAAAGGGTTCTATATAGCAAGCTTAGCGTCGTAACAACATATATATATATATACATATATACACACAGACTAAGGTCAGATATATATATATATATATATATATATATATATATTATATATATATATATATATATATATATATACACACACCCTGACCTTAGTCTGTAAGTTGCTCTACAGTGAATCATTTCACACCAAACCACTCTGAATTACTGTTTACATTTCAATGATTGAATTATGCTTGGGTGGAAAATGGGTGGAATTGCCCTTTAACAATATCTCAGGAGTCGTGTAATATATTTGTTTAAAAAAATTTACTTTTCCGACGTCTGGTTCCTATCATCACTACTGTGAACGAATCTGAATGAGTTTTAAACTTCCCCTTTAAAGGTAAATCTAGACTCGAGCGGCTCTACTGGATTATAATGCATACAGTAAATTACAGGTTGAGGAAAAATCAGCATCAGTGATCGGCACGTGGGGTTAGTGGTTCTGATCGCTCTGCGCGCGTTCGCTGAATGATTTATAGTAGAAAAAGAGGGAGGATCCATCTCTCTCTCTCTCTCTCGCTCTCTCTCTCTCTCTCTCGCTCTCTCTCTCTCTCTCTCTCTCTCTCTCTCTCTCTCTCTCTCTCTCTCTCTCTCCTCTTTAAATCCCCTTTGCTGTTGTATGTATGTCAGGGTGTGTGTGTATGTGAGGAGCTGATCTTCTCTCTTCTCGTTTAACTCGAATGACATTTTGATTTGATCACCGCGAGCCAAGCACTGGACCGGGACGCGCGCGCCTTCATCACCATCATCCTCATCATCCTCCTCATTTGCCGGATCTCCTCAGGATTTTTACACTACAAAGCAAATCAGAAAGCGCCTCTCGGAGCTCGACGCTGCTCTCCGTCCGGACACTGTGGACCTTCTTCTCCACTGCAGGCGATCTCTCTGACTCCTCTGGTCCGGCGGGGGCTGCGATGGCCGACGAGACTCGCCCTTCAGCCAAAGACTCTCCCTTCTCCATCAGGAACCTCCTGACCTGCGACAGTAAAGCCCCCGCTAACCCCCCTAACCCGGCCAAGGCGGGCCTGGACACGGCGCTGTCCATCTCCAGGCTGGGGGACTTCGCCTTCCCCCGCTTCGAGCGGTTTGGATTAGCTGGTCAGTGCTTGGAGAGGAGTCCGGCCTGGTGGTGGTGCTACCCGTACACACTCAACTCTCCCGGACACCTACACACAGCGGCGGGTGAGTGACCGCAGCTACAGACAGCCAGGAGGTCAGTCAGCGGCCACAGCGTTAAGTTAGACCTGCTTCATTAACGCGGACGGCGGTCATTTATCACCAACCCTGTTCATTTAACGCGCCAAAATAGTTCTTCAAAGTTTGTTTAGTAAAGGCAGTGGTTCTGTTCAGAACCGTATAAAACCGTTCCACGCTTGAATGGTTCTTTGCGTGGTGAAATGATTCTTCAGATTAATGGAGAATGTGTATATAGAACCTCTGTACAGCACCAACAAGGGTTCTCCTATGTCAAGCTTGTAATAACAGAAGAACCATTTTGGTGCTATATAAAACCACTTTATAAAACCATATACGACACATTCTCCATCAATCTGAAGAACACTTTAGGCATGAAATGGCTCTATACAGAACTCTAAAGAGCTCTAAAGAAGAAGTGCAGTTCCAGTTAATGACTTCACCGCTGTGGTGACTGAATTAGACATTAAAGCTCGTACAGCAGTGACTGTACGTCTAGATAAAGAATAAAACTCTTATATTGTTCAATTAACAATTAAAACAGAGGTCAATAATTGCCTACACAGTTAATTAGACGCGCTAAAAAAATTGAATTTAACAGCTGTGGTGAATTTACGCTTTTATACACACATTAAAACTGTACAGCAGCGAATTTACACCTGTATTGTTAAATAAGAGCCCTTATCATGTTGAATTAACACAAACATTACCACAGACTAGCTAAAGGTTTTTAATTTAGCACACACAGGCATGAATTTACACCTGTGGTGAATTGATGCTTATAGGTATTCATTAAAACTCTTACAGCAGTGAATTTACGCCTATAGAGATGAATTAAAACTCTTACACTGTTTAATTGACGTAAACAGCGGTCAGTTATTACTGAAGCAATTAATTGAACTCTCTAAAAGTTTCAAATCGACGCCCTCAGGGATGAATAAGCGCCTGTGCGCGCTGAAATTCTCACAGCAGTGAATTTATGCCTATAGAAAACAAATAAAACTTCCACAGCGTTTCAACTGAAATAAATAGGGGGCATTTATCGTTTATACACTTGATTAAATGCGATACAAAAGATTAAATACGATTTATTCACTTTTAGGGATTAATGAACGCCAGTGCTGTACTTATGTGTTTAGAGGTGCACTGAAAATCTTCCAGCATGACTTTATGCCTTTATCTTCAAATTGGAAATCTTTACTGTTTAATTGTCACTGTTTATACCGTTAATTAAGCGCTAAACGTTTGAATTTGACAACATACAGGGATAAATTAACACCTGTGATAAATTAGTGCCTATAGATATACATTTAAACTCTTACAGCAATGAATGTGAGTTTATAAAGATGAAGAGTAAAACTTTGATACTGTTTAATTTGTACAAACAGCGTTCAGTTATTTTTTATACCATTAATTAAACACGCCACAAACACAAACACACATAAAAAAAAAAAACACACACACATAAAAATGGTTCTCCAAGGCAGTGGTTCTACTTAGAACCGTAAGTTATATATAGAACCATTTCATGCTTAAATGGCTCTTTGCATGGTAGTTCTTCAGATTGATGGAGAATGTGTTGTACATTGTTCTGTATAGAAGCTTTTTGAAAATGGTTCTATGTAGCACCAGAAAGATTTCTGCTTTTGTTGCATGGTTACATGGATTGACATCGTAACAATAGAAGAACGCTTTTTGGTGCTTACACAACACATTCTCAACCTGAAGAACCATTTCACCATGCAAAGACCCATTTAAGCATAAAATGGTTCTACATAGAACTCATGGTTCTTTACTAAAAAACCCAAAGGTCAACATTTACACCTGTGATTAATTGTTGCTTATAGAGAGACTCATTAAAACCCTTACAGCAATGAATTTGTGCCGGTAGAGTTTAATTAGAACTCTTACGTGGTTTAATTAACACAAACAAGGGTGTTTCATTGTCTATGCAGTTAATTAAGCACTGTAAGAGATGGAATTTGTTGCTTATGGGGATGAATGAACACGTGGTGAATTTGTGACTATTGATAGAGTGCTATGTGCTGTATATTTTTACAGTGTTAAACAGCTGGGGGTGAATTGACATCTATAACATTCATTATTCACACAGAATGTGCAGTTAAGGTGTTAATTTAACACCTACAGTAGAGCTGAATAAAACCTCTTACAGTGTTAAACTCCTGTAGTGGTGAATTAACACCTACAGACTGAATTAGTTTGCTGCAGTGTTGAATTCAGTCCAACAGTGGGTCAGTATGTATGGTTCTGCTGTCTGTCGAATAGGTGATGCAAGAATAAGTCACTGAGGAAAGTGTATGTGAAGATTATTGTTGGGAACATTTGATGACAATAATTGAAAGCTATTGAATGGGTATAATGGGATGGCCATGTATGAACATTATTTAAAGACCAGTGTGTAAATTTTTCAGGCTTTGTTAATTGTCAGGAATCAGCAGGAACCCTTAAGGCTTTATAAGAACATATATAACATGAAAACAGTACAGAACAATCCCAGACGTTGGACACAAAGGAGACGAGAGGGAATTTAAGACTGAAGGCACCAATGCAGCACAGAGACTGTTGTTGAGCACAAGGTAAAGATATTGGTAAGAATATGGTGCATTCAGTGCACAGTCACAATAATGAACACTGAAGGTTTAAATTCACCACAAGAGGAGCTTTTAATTTAGTGATGTAATAAACTAGATGTGTTAATTCAGCATTGAGCTGCATATTATATTCATTAAATGATGTAAGTAATATTCATTTTAACACTGTCATTCAAAGTTGTGTCCACTGTAGATGTTAATCGCATACTATTGGCCTTTTCAATTCAATAGACCTTAAAGGGTAATTCCACCCATTTTACAAAATTTCCACAATTCAGTTGTTGAGATGAAGAGAAACTTGCTTGCTGTGGATGTCTTTACAGTGGTGGTGATGGGAAGCAGAGTCTACAACACAAATATAGTCATTTTATTTACTCTCAAAAACCACCAGTGAACCTACATGCGTCTTCTGAGTTTATGTATGTAATGATGATGGCAAAATAGTGCAAAACGAACTGTAAAGTGCTCTTCCGCTCCTGCATGTGTCTCTCCACCAAGAATATATTCTTAAAACTATCATAAAAAAACAATGTCTCAGGCACCAGGCAGCGTATTTGTACAAATTTTATGTAATAACCTTCTGTGAGGGAGCTTTTAGAGGCATGAAGCTCTTCTGACATCTGGTTCCTGGCCTGGTTCACCACCACTGTGAACAATTCTGACTTTGCACACCAATAAATTGAGTGATTTGAGTCTGTAATGCTTCTTCAAGAGCTGCAATGATCTTCACCATCACCCTGTGATGACACAGTGCACGTGGACTAGTGAACTAGTGAACAAGACAGTAGAAAATTAAGCATGCACAAGTGCAACTGGACAGCGCAGCACAACACAACAAATGACTATACAATAAATACACCAGTTCAGTGGAGTTGTTTTATACAGCATCATGTGCACTGATATTACAGGCATTACAGACGTTTGCACATAGTATGTGTAGATCAATTGAACATTACTGCCGTCGCAGGACACACAGGCCTACATAACTGCCAAGACAGCACAGCAGAACAACTAAGTTGCGTTGCATTACTGTTGAGTGGTTTTTAATATTTTGATATCTTATCACCCCCTTAGTCTCAGAGCGGCCGATCAGACCCCCCTCGCCCTCCCCCACGGACCAGAGCTCCCCAGAGCCACGCACCAAAGAAGAGGAGGAAGAGGAAGAGGAGGAGGAAGAAGAGGAGGCGGCGCAGGAGGAGGTTCAGGAGGAGGAGAAGAGACCAAGCCGCAAGAAGAAAACGCGCACAGTGTTCTCTCGCAGCCAGGTAATTCATACTGTAACAGCTGGAACACAGCAGAACTCATACTGAACTCATACTGCCGTAAATACTGTGACTGCTGTAAATAAAGCAATTCATACTGATACTGCTGTGTATATACAGCAATTCATACTGATACTGCTGTGTATATACAGCAATTCATACTGATACTGCTGTATATACAGTAATTCATACTGATGCTGTATATACAGCAGTTTATACTGTTAATAATGCAAAACAGTCATTCTTATTGTTAATTCTGCACTACAGCACTTCATACTGCTATTGCTGAAATACAGTAATTCATACTGCTAATGTCATAAATACACCAATTCATACAACTACAGGTGCAATACAGTTCACAATTCATACTGGTAACTCTGCAATACAGGATTACTTAGCGTTCAGTTTCCACTAGATCTTCAAAACCTGTTGCTTAAAGTAAACCATTATTATAGATATATATATATATATATAGATATATATATATATATATATATATATATATATATAATTAATACATGGTTAATGTGTACTATATACACAATTACATGTAAGAAAATTGTATATAGAAATAAAATACTGTAGATCACGATTTACTATTGTCTACTATATACACTATACTGTACTGTACTACATATTGCATATGAAGTAAAACAGACTGAGCGGTGTCACAAACTGAACATTAATATTGTGATTGTGCTTTAAAAAACTGATTTCGATTCTATATTCTGATATTGATATTATTTCAGTATTAATATTAATATCAATAATACTATTATTATTATTATTATTATTATTAATATTATTATTGAGTGGTGCTAAACATTCTGATATTGATTCTGATTCTCAGGTGTTCCAGCTGGAGAGCGCGTTCGACGCTAAGCGCTACCTGAGCAGCTCTGAGCGCGCGTGCCTGGCGTCCAGCCTCCACCTGACGGAAACTCAGGTGAAGATCTGGTTCCAGAACCGCAGGAATAAGTGGAAGCGGCAGCTTGCGGCGGAGCTGGAGGCGGCGAACGCGCATCATCACCACCATCATCATCATCAACAGCAGCACAGGATCGTCCGCGTGCCTGTGCTGTACAGAGAGAGTTCAGAAAGCGCGCGAGGGGGGGCGAACGGAGGGGGTGTAGGAGGGGGGGTTGGGCAGCCCTTACTGTTCCCTTACTACCCCCATCCCATAATGCCCAGCGTGCCACTGCTCAGGCCCGTTTAGCCCTGACTTTATTATTATTATTATTATTATTATTATTATTATTTGGGGTTAACAAAAAAATGCACAGGCAGCAACAACAACAACAGTAATAGTAATATCAATTGTTATTATTACTATTGTTTATTATTATTATTATTATTATTATTATTATTATCAGTGCAGTTAGTTTATGCTAACCCACATTTTGACAGAATAACGGAAACATAAGAATTACACAAATTCGCGTTTCTTAAATGATGATTCTAGATTTATTGTTTTATTTTTATTTTTAATATTATTTTTTATTTTTAATTGCCCCATCAGTGTATGCGTGTGTGTGTCTGGGACAATCGCTCACTGAGGCCTGTTTGGTACTTTAAGCCTTTTCTACAGAGAGACTGGATTTTACGGGACAGACTGTGACGGGCTTTGATCTCTTCACTGTAAATAAATATACAGATGTTGTAAATAATCCGCAGATATGAGTTGTTCTGTATATGAGCAGAGTTTTGATATTGTACTGCTGTAATAAACGGATCCACTGACTCTCTGACTGTGACCACCTTCACCACCAGCAGCCGCTCCAGCTCTGAGAAACGGACATTATTAAAAATAAAAACAAAGGAGAAAAAAGTGTAAATAAAAAATAAGCAGCAATTCGAGCAGCACTTTAACACCATTCATACAAAACACTTCCGTTTTACGTTCCAAATAATTTATTATCGACATTCTGGCGACAACGATAATAAAATATTAATAAACACCGCAATAGCACATTTACTACAACTGTTATTATTATTATTATTATTATTATTATTATTATTATCTTTTTATGGGACAAACTGTGTCACAGTATGTATGATCAACTGATCATTAATATCAGCGCTGTATTTATTGCTCTTATTGATCTCTGATCGACTGATTCTGAGAGACTGACATTACAACACAGTCAATAATAATCATATCCATTACGAAATATTACAGTGTTCTTATAATAGATTCCCTCTTTATAAGTTTAATAAGAGAGAGAGAGAGACAGAGATAGAAAGAGAGAGAGAAACAGAGAGAGGGAGAGATAGCAAAAGAGAGAAACAAAAAGAGAGAGAGAGAGAGTAAAGTAAAAAGTAAAACAAGCCGCTGAAATAAATCAATCACACTGTAACACAAACACGCTGTTAAAACGAGCTCAACTCAAAATGATGTAGTAACTGATCACAGCGCTTTTCCTGAATTGACTCAGTGTGAGGAGCCGAATCTCACCTGCTCAAACCTCTGGAGTCCAAAGTTCTCTTATTCGTTAGTTTTGCTTCTCAGTTCGGTAAATAAAACACAATAAAACATTTATTTTTAAAGCTCAACTTCTCCACCAGCCAGGACTCTGTCCACCACGCAGTCCTGCTGGACGTGTTTCCTCTTGGGTTCTCACTTACAGATGGCTGTGGCATCGCTGGGACTCAAACTCACAGCCTCCTGATAATGGTTCAGCCCTCAGCACTCAGGAACCCCTGAAGCAGCTCAGAGTTTGTGTCCATAAATGTTTGAAACCCTGGAGAAAATATTTGTTGTTTTGAATTTGAAGAGTGTGGAATCCCACCAACGCCACAGCTGTGTCCACATCTGGAATCTAACTGAGACGCAGACCTAGAAACAGCAGCTGGAGAATTCTTAGCTTGAGTTGAACAGACTTTTAATTTTTACAGTGTGATAAAAAGGAGCAAATGAACAAAGAAAGTGTAAACATAAGACGGAAATACGTTTTAAATAAAATAAATTAATTAATTAATCAATTGTGCATAAAGAAATAAATGAATAAATAAAAAAAATAAAGTGTAAATAAATAAATGAAGTGGAAACAACGCGATGTAACAAATAAGGACAAATCATATTAAAGAAAAAATACAAATAATAGAGAAATATAAAACAAATGATTAAACAAATAAATCGCAAATAAAAATCCTAAAAACGACAAAAGTAAATAGAATAAAATAATAAATACAGTGGAAATAACGGAACTATAATAAATAAGAGGAAGAAAAAACATTTTAAATTAAAAAAGAATAATAAATAAAAAATTCAAATAAAAAAATTAATAAATAAAGTGAAAATGAGCAATTGCAGATAAAACTCCCAGCTGGTTAAGTGTGTGTGTGTGTGTGTGTGTGTGTGTGTGTGTGTGTGTGTGTGTGTGTGTGTGTGAGCTCTTTAATTTCCTCCGAGCTGGTTTATAATTTCCGGGCTGCACTTTGAGCACGCGATTGGCTCACACACACACACACACACACACACACACGCACGCGCGCGCAGTCTCGGGTCCGGCGAGCGCGTGGAGCGCAGATTTCTCCACCTGCACAGACGCGCGTGTTTGAGGAGCTTTTGAAAAAATAAACAAAGCGGCGCGAGGACCAAAAAAAAACAAAAACAAACAACGAAAACCGACAACAACAAACAACAACAAAACAGACCGAACAGAACCGGCCGAAGCTCAGAGTTCAGTTCCTCTGTTTCGGGTGTCAGTCTGATTTATGCGGGCGCAGGCGAGGCGCGCGCTATGCAGGGCGCGAGCAAAGCCTGCAGCTTCACCATCAGGAACATCCTAGGAGGAGAAGAGGAGGAAGAGGAGGAGGAGGAAGAGGAGAGAGAGGAGAGAGGAGAGCACAGTGAGTGCCCCGCTGAGGGGCGCGGGGCAGCGCGAGAGACCCTCGCACGCACGCACAGGGGTGAGTACAGAAAGCAGTAATAATAATAATAATAATAATAATAATAATAATGTAATAAATACATTAAAAATACACTCTTTAAAAAGATGTTCTTCAAGGGTTCTTTAGTGAAGAGGATGGTTCTTTGTGTGGTGAAAGGGTTCTAAGAGTGATTGAGAATGTGTTGTATATGGTTCCATACAGAATCTTTTTGAAAATGGTTCTATGTAAACCCTAAACCCTAAAAAGGGTTCTGCTATTGTTTCGATGACAAGCTTTTACACAACAGCAGAACCCTTTTTGGCGCTCTATAGAACCATTTTAAAAACGTTCCATATACCATATACAACACATTCTCCATCGATCTGAAGAACCATTTCACCGTTTCTCACGGCTGCCTTTACTGAGGAACGCTTGAGGAACCCTCTGATTTGGAGCGCACAGAGAGATGACTCAGACAGTGATGTTCATTTTATTGAGGTTCTTGGTTTCATCGGTTCTCTGTCGGATGTTGATCCGTGTTCAATCAAAGCTGCCGGGTGAGTTAAACTCTCCTCTCACTGGCTGTTTAAGATCATCGGTTCCACACAAATGAAACAAGTCAACTTCACTACTTACACACAGTAATTATGCTGATGTATTTCATTCGTGTGGATCCAATGTAGACATTTAAATCAAGCAAATTTACAGTAAATAACAATGTAACTAAATTTAGTGAGAACTGACTTTTATCTATTGCTTCTTTTAACCTCCTTTTTTACCCTCTCACCTGTTTTAATGTCAGTTGTTGCTTTTCCTCCTTGTTTTATTCTGTCGGCTCTTCCTTTTCATTTTAATTTGGACTTTATTTCTGTACATCACTGTAAATGATTTATTCTGTGTAATACTCATTTACACTGCATCTGCATTTACTCTGATCTCTTTCGTGTGATTTACTTTAATTAATCGACTACATACTCAACTCAATCCAGGACACAGTTGTGTTCAAACACTTGACATAAAGTAAATCCTGCATTGCTTTTTTATTAGATTGTATTCTAATAATTCTTTTAGTTGCAACGGGCTCAACTTTTAAATCCTGTTATTCCCTTTAACAGAGATAAATAAACACCTAATAAGCTGTTTTTCATTATTATTATAATTTATTATTATTATTATTATTATTATTTATTTGTGATACTGATTTTATTTTTTTCACTTATATGTCAAATTCATTGTTTTTAAATATTTTATATATATATATATATATATATATATATATATATATATATATATATATATATATATATAATGTATATATATATACACACACACACACACACACTTCTTGCCGATATTGTCCTTGTTCTTGTTTGTTGGTTAAAGGTGCCTATATGTGTTTATTGTGTGTCATTGTTTACCAGGTCTACTGTATAGAGGAAGTATAGGGCTCATGGTGCCCCCTCCTTGGGTTAAGCTTGTTTTGTGCCTTTTCTGCTCGGCTTCAATAAAAAAGCTCAGTGGTCTCTTCTATGTCTTCTTCTACAGCGACACTTGTGAGTGCTGTTGTTGTCACTGGATAGTTTAGTGTGTAGTTAATCAGAGAAATAGTAACTGAGGAGGGTGAGTTACAGTGTATCAGTAGTGTCTATGTTGTGTCCTCCCACATTACCCTGCGTTTTGTGTTGGGGTTGCCTTTGGGTTGGGTATTTCTTGCTGCCTGTTGAAGTGCCTGTTCAAAATAAAAGAGCATTCGCCTGTACACACTATGTTTTCCATCTTCTTCTGAGCCGACACTACATCGGTGTCAGAAGTTGAGTGTGCCCACCAGAGTTTAAAGAAATCAGCACCGTGCTACTGTGAGGGCACCTGGGAGCCGTACTTAGTACAGCTGCAATTGATTGGCTGGCATTACAGCTGGATGGCATTCGTCACCACGATGCAGCTGCGTCTGGCACTATAGGGGAAAGCAGTACAGGTGCTTGTGGATCTGCTGCCAGAACAATAATGACCTAATGGCGTTGATATTGATCCTGCAGTGAGCTTTGGGCAGGTGGTGGTGTGGTCAGCCAGGCGGCTTCTCCCTGAGAGGCAGAGGCTAAAGGCAGAGCAGATAAGCATGTTGGCAATGGAGCTGATTTGACTGATGATTTGACTGGCACACTGGTGTTTGAGAAGGCTGTGCTGGAGGAGTTGGCATTGAAGCATTTCCTGATTTTGCTTCTTCTGGAGGAGCTGAGATAGCAAGTGCAGCTCACTGCACCGGCCAGCCTTCACACAGCCGCCATGAGACAGAGAAAGCAGAACTCATCCTCGGTGTGAAAATGCTGCAGCCAGCAACATGGCGCTGCACAGTGTAGGAGCTCAAGGAGGAGACCACCTGCAGAGCTTCCCCCAAGTGACTGAAAGCAAAGTGACTGGTGTGGCAGCACTGCAGGAGGAGGGGACACCACACCAGTCAATGCTAGAACCCGAGTTAGCAGGAAAACGGAAGCCAGCCAGGAAGATCAGCTGCCACCGTGAACTTTGGGTTGAGTTCAGCATAGACAGGAAACAGCTCACTGCCCTCACTGACACTAACATCAATGTCACTGCTACATCCAGTCATACTCCCTTTCACCGAGAGCAGCACTCCTGCTGACTGAGAAGTGATGAATGTCTGTATGGCTGAGTCAATGTGAGATGGAGGAGGCAGCTTCCGGTCTGGTGAGGGGCCTGAGTGGAGTGCATGAGTTCTGGTTCACAGCTATACAGAATGTATGCATATATGTCTGGGAGCTCCTTGTGACAGTCGGGTCTGTGCTCAATCTAGGGAAGGAAACACTGGGCTTGGAGATGGGACGAGAGAAGCCAGTTGTGAGGCCTAGCTGTGGAGCCGTGGCAGACAGCTGAGGCTTCCTGGCCATCATTCCCCATAGGGGAAGGTGTCGGATCAGGAAAAGCTGAACACACAGCGCCAGTGCTGGTGGACGTATCCCCAAGGGCCATAGGCAGCGCACAAGCAGCACCCTTGCTGGCAGAAAGTGAAAGGTGGCTGAGAGGAGTGCTGTTGCTGTCTTCACCCCCAGTAGCACCAGAGTTGATGCTGTTAGCTGTGAGGAGTTCTGCCACATCAGCACATCAGTGGATTTTCCATGGAGCTGGTGTTCAGCTGCCTGCTAGGAGCAGGGGAGGAAGGCGCACTCCGAGTGGGGTACACCAAGAAGCCATTGTGCCAAGGACATGGATGTTATGTCCTCCCGCGTTAGCCCGTCCCTGTGTTTTGCGTTGGGGTTGCACTGGGCTGGGCATTTCTTGCTGCCTGTACATGCTATGTGTTCCGGTGCTAAAATACAATATGCAATGTCATAAATTGTTAATGTATCATTTTAGTTTTATTATCATTGTATTATTATTATTGTGTTTATTACTTGTAGTAGCAGAAGTAGTTCCAAGGTCACATGATCTGTCTGCATGTGCACACATCTGGAGGCAGGAAGCGGTTTAGAGCTGATCTGAAATGCTAGCATTTTAACATTTTTCCACAAAAAATATGCCGTCATCAAACTAATCAGCACTGTTTATTCATACACCTGGCTTGATGATGTTGTCTCATTGTGCTGTCAGCTGCAAAAACACAGTCTGATCAAACATCGTAGCTTTCAGCACATATCATTACTAGCATTAGCCACTCAGAATGGCAGCTATAACTATGAAACACAGAGACTTGACCAATTAAACAACTAACCTCTTGTTTGTGCAGCACTCACTTCAAATCGAGTGGTTTCACCCCAAAAACATTCACTGTTTTGTCAAGTTAATTTTAACTGAAGCACAGCTAACAGTTAAGCTAGCAGACAGCCAAGAATCACCTCTACATTTTTAGCATATATTAGTTAGCTTATGCTAGCAACATTAATGCAATGTAAGCATCTTATTGGGATGTTTTTGACCATATTTATGCAGCATTATGACTCTATATAGCCATAGTTGTACTTGTGCTTAGGTTGCATTGATGCTTAACTGGGAAAAAATGAATTAAATATGTTTGAGTCGATTTTTTAAGTAACTTCCTTCCAAAGCATAGTTCAACAGTGGGTCTGACATCTTTGAGTTGGCTACTTCTCTAACTTGGAGGATCAGTAGGTGGTTTGATTGAAAGGGTGTTGGGCAAAACCATTGAATCGACATAGATCTCCATAGATATTGAATCTGCAATGATCTTGCTTATTGTGTTGGCCATTGATTTAATGTTGGAAAATCAACCATGCTAAACATTGATTGAACAGCATCGCTGATGGTTGAATAGCTATCCAATATCAATACTGATGTTGATTTAATGTTGAAACAATGTTTAATGGTGAAAAACTCTATGATGGTGCAATGTTGATTCAAGAAACTTAATAGTAAATTCAATTCAGTATTTACACAATACAGCGCACTTTACATTTAGACGCTCTAACAGTGGTTCACAGTGGCAGGTGAGTACAGCATTTGGAGACGTACCCTGGGACGTTTATTCCTACATGGCACCGCAGCCTGGATGGGGATTGAGCCTCTCATCTTTGAACCTCTTAGCACAACTTGTGATGACAACACAAGGTCTTATAGGCAGATAAAAGAGGTATAAAGGAAGGCGTAGTGGATAACACAATCTCCCTCAATACAGAAGATGCTATTGCATCATGTTCAACGTGGTAGATTTTCCGACACTGAATCAATGGCCAACGCAACATGCAAGATCAGGGCAAATTCGCTGTCAAACCCCTTGACATTCCGGTTTCTTACACACTAAAGCTTATTATTCATTAAGTACAGGGGTTTCAATGCAAACTAATGGAGCTTTTCTAAGGTTATAGACATGTGTAATAAGACTTGGGGTCTGCTGACGTACGTATTCATATGTATTTCATAGATTCCATCCAACCTGGAGTAGAAGAAAAACAACGAATGCCCCTGGGTACCAGCGATCAGGAGGGTCCCTCCATCAGCCCTGTGCCTAAACGCTCGGGCGCAGAGGCGGAAAGGTGCAGCCCAGCCAAAAAGAAAACGCGCACCGTCTTCTCCCGTAGCCAGGTGTTCCAGCTGGAGAGCGCATTCGACGCCAAGCGCTACCTGAGCAGCTCTGAGCGAGCATGCCTGGCGTCCAGCCTCCACCTGACCGAGACTCAGGTAAAAACGTGGTTTCAGAACCGCAGAAACAAATGGAAGAGGCAGCTGACAGCCGAACTCGAGGCTTCATCCTCATCCTCCTCTTCTTCACGGACGCTGCTGGCTATGCCCCTCATGCCCCCCTTACCTGCAAACGTGTCTGCTCTCTATTACCCAGGATGCAGCATCGCTGGCCTGCCTTTATACAGCCTCTATAATAAACTAGACTACACAGCACCACTGCATTGAGTTATGAACAAAGTCACCTTTATCATTACATATATAAGCCCTTAATAACTTTGGTTTTCTCCTATTGCTTTTATTTTAGGCTTTCATTATATAAGCATCCATAATACTCATGCAATATAGTCATGCTATATATTTTGGATTTGTCCATCTGTCTTGACTTATATCCTTTTGAAGCATGCCACCTGTTCTTGGATCATGTTTGGTTTTATGATGATTAAAATCCAGCTTTCACTTGCTAATTTCTATTATAATACAAAACAGTAATTAAATCTACTTTGAGTTATTATACGTGTGTATATTATTGTTGTGATAATTTGAGAGATTATTCCTCTCATTTTATTTTTCTCTTTCTAGACACAAAACAATCCGGAATCCAAGCATTTTCATATGTTAGCATTTCTTATGGGCATTAAACTGATTTCTTTTGTCTAATCAAAGCATTTGTACGCAAAGAATTGGTTTGATTGGTTCAGATTACCCTCCGGTTATATTCTCAAAACATTGGTACTAAATCATCACTGGTCACACTGTCCACTGTCCACTGTCACACTATGTCTAGTTAGGGAACATAATTCCATTGCATTTATGTTCTTTCAAGTTACATTGACTCCATGCACCCTGTCTTGACTGCAGGCTATGTTTAAGTTAACCATCTACTGCATGAATTATAACTTAAACATGATAAAATATTTAATGTGTTTTTGTTATTTGAAATTGCTTAAGTAATGGAAATTTTTGAAAAAAATTTGTGGGTTACTTGGTAAATTGTTGCCATTTGGCAACAATGCACAATCATACCATAGCACCATAAAATCTAAAAAAAAAACCGTAAAATTAAAATAAAAAATTAATGTTTCTCTAAAAACATCATTTTATCCTTTTATTGAAAACAAGAACAAACAAATCCAACTTATACTTAGTGAAATGTATGACCCAATATTTACAAATATTGGAAAAATAATACAATTTCAATTGGTATTTGGAATGCATGGTAATAACAACATCGTAATAAAAATTCCTGGTCATGTGATGTCATGAAATATTTGTCCTTTCAAAGTAAAAGACCCTTTTTCCACAATTAAGTAGGAAAACACAGATTTTATATTACTGCTTTTTAGTAAAAGTAAGATAAATAATTGTTGCCACATGGCAACACCATGCAGTAGAGGGTTAAACGTTCTGAAAAGCTAAAAATGGACCCCTTTCCTCTGAGAAAGTGAAAACCTTTAAAGGGCTTATTTTTCTTGTATCTTATCTTTTCCTCTGAGGTCTTCTTCCAATGTTTGTTTATTGTGATATAGCAAAAATGGTCTTTTTTACATGACAATTCCCAAACTTTATTCATCTCTTAGAATTAAACAGGCTGTTTTTGTCACTGTGCCTTTAAGACTGATATATGTGAACAGCTTCTGTTCTGATTGGCTGCTCTTCAGTTGGTTAAATGTAAAAAAGTTCTTGACGTCACAAAAACATTCACTTTAAGATTCAGGGAACTTGCAGTGTAGTTTCCATATGTGGACTCTATAGACTGGAGAGTGAGTGGTTGTTTTGATACTTAACCCTTGTGTGGTGATCAAGTCTGTGGGACCCATTTTCACACACACACCACCCCTCTAAGCTGGTTATCATGGGGGAGCTGGAGCCTATCCCAGCAGTCATTGGGTGGAAGGCAGAATACACTCTGGACAGGTCACTAGTCCATCAGGGCAGACAGACATATACATGTCCAATTGGTCTTACAGCATGTCTTTGGACTGTGGGAGGAAACCCAGGCAGACATGGGGAGAACACACAGGAAGGACTCTGGTCACCCAGCCGAGGAATCGAACCCAGGTCCTTCTTGCTGTGAGGTGACAGCGCTACCCACTGTGCCACCGTGCCACCCCAGACCCTTTTTCAGTGTTTACCAAAAGAAAAAATCATGTGAAAAAATCATCATTTATTATCATTTTGACCTCAGATTCTTGGCCTTTGCTCATTTCCTGTGAAGAACATATAAAATAACCCATTTTCAGTGTCTTCACTCTGTTCACCTCCCACACATTTATATTACATGTGGTGTTGGGCTGAACCTGCGGGGAGTAAAAGTGTGGAGGTGCTGTGTCCTTCGCTCTGTTCTCCTCCTACATGGCCTGCTGTTAGTGTGTGTGTGTGTGTGTGTGTGTGTGTGTGTGAGGGTGGACGACATGGGCAGGCTGCTGACTGGCTACAGCTGCTAAAGAAGAACCCTACGCTGGACACCTGTGATATTTTAAACATCTGGTATTTTTACATAAATTGTTATGGCTGATTTATAAAAACAATAATGTGGTGGGTCCACCAGACCACTGAGTAACAAACACATCAACACCACACAAGGGTTAAAGTTTACATATGACAAATGTTTAAAAATGGAGTTATTCAATTTTCCATGAAATGCACCTTTTCCATGTTCCTCTGTATGAGTGTGTGTAAACATTACTGTGCTAGTCCTTATTGGTGTCTGTGTGTAGGGCAGGGTATCATCCATTTTTTTATATTGATACTGATACCATTAACTTGGCTTTAATATGCTGACACTTCAGTGCTGATGTGATTACATTAATAACATACATACTGAAAGTAATTTAGACAGCCAGTCAGCCAAGATTTTGACTCTCACTGACGCTGAGAAGACTGACTGCTTAAAATAATAATAATTTTCTCGTATATAGCACTTTTCCCAAATCCCAGGATGCTTTACAATTCTAACAACATTATAAATCAACACCAAACACAATATACATACACAAAGGTCTCCTACTGGTAGGGAGAATACTTTCCTGACCATGACATGAAGTCACCTAGCTCACTGCCCAATGAAACTCTGCTGTCACTGGGCAGTCCCCCAGCTCATGGCCCAGTCAAACTATGTTATCTCCCTGAAAATTGTTCCAGTTTGCTGCCCAGTTGATGTGAAGAATCTCCCGGCCTGTGGCCCAAACTCAGCTACCTTCTCCCGGTTTGTGCCCCAACTCTGCTACTACTCATGGTGAAGAATCTCCCAGCCCATGGCCCAGTCAAACTCTGCTACCTCCCTGAAAAGTGTCCTGGTTTACAGCTTAGTCAAACCACTACCATGGTGAAAAACATGTCCCGGTTCAGGGCCCAGTCAAACTCTGCTACCACATGAAGTCGGTCAACAATGGAAAAAGTCCCGGGCAAACAAAGCAAATCACTAGCATAACACAAACAACACTAAACAAACACAAACCTAATGTAGAGCAGCAGCCAAACTGAGCACATCATTCTTACACCAGACATACACACACAAATATACTGAAACTTTTAATCATTGTGTGATGTCCTAAAAACCACCACATCTACATACATCCGCCTATTCAGCCTACAGCTGTTTGGCATCACCCATTCACTCATCAGCCAATCAAAACAGAGCTCATTTACACATATCAGTCTTAATGATACAGTGACAAAAACAGTCTACTTAACTGTAAGGAATAAAGGGAGGTTGGAAAATGGCCAAGTAGAAATTAATTATGACTGTTTTTAGTGCTTAAAACCACATGAATGTTATAAGTGGATCTCATGGGGAAAAAATAAAATGCAAGAAAATTTTAAGATGTGGGCCTATTAAAATAATTGTCTGCTGATACCAATGTTATTCTGATATTTCTGTATATCCCCAGTATGTGGAAAAGCTTCTGTGCTCCAACTAGCCTAACCCCATCATCTTTTATTTACTTTTATGAAGAAAAAGTTGCAGTGTTTGGTGATAAACAGCATTTTTCCTGATGGAGAGTAGTCAAATCTCCCCACCACCACCAAATGCTGATCGTCCTGGTGGGATTTGGACTCCACAACAAGAATGAATATTGTGCTTTGGTTAGAATTTGTGAAATTTCGTAATTGGGCAGTTATTATAATGACCTGCATTCCTTGATGTGTATGAATTCAAAATGCAGCTTTCAGTGATGCTGGAATGATTCATATATAAATGACCACATTCTGCAAAGCCTTTGTTCTACTCATAGTTGTTCTGGCACAAGATCAATGGAATAAAATATGTTCCTTGTTAATAAAAAGCACTATTCAGAAAAATATTCTGTATTTGAATGAATCTGTAACTGAAGAGAATTTGACTTCCATTCTGAAGCAAGTAATTCATCGACAAGTTGCTCTTCTGGCTGAAACCAAAGACCCTGATACCAGTTCAAAAAGCTATAATATGTTCTTAATTTGATGTTTCTGGTAGCATGTTTTAATATGGCATATTGAAATGATCCTGCATGAACCTGGTCAAGAGTCCAGCAGAAATGTTGCCCTGCAGTTTTGCTATAAACAAAGATACCCTGATGCCCGCTTTAAACACGCAAAGTACACACTTAAAGTAATCTGCTTCTTTAAAACAGCTAAGTTTGACTGCCTTAAATACTCAGGCAGCCAAGGACAAGGTTTTCACTGTAATCTGAGTAACCAACCGTGGAGGTTTCTCTGACAGGTACCCAGCCCTGCTGAGATGGAAATTCCACCACTGAAAGGCTGGTTAAAGAGAAATTCCAAAGAGAAAAACAAAAAGTGTCAGTAAGTTTCTCTACAATTATTCATTTCACACCGAACTACTCTGAATGACTTTTACATCTCAACAATCTAATTATGCAGCAAAAAATCAAAGGAATTTCTCTTTAACCAGCCTTTCAGTAGTGGAATTTCCATCTCAGCAGGGCTGGTATCTGTCAGAGAAACCTCCACGGTGTGATAACAACTCAGCAAGGAAGCTTTTAAAGTAATTGAACACTTCTGACTCGGTAAGTTTCTCTAGAACAGAGCGTTTCACACCAAACCTCTCTGAGTGACTCTGTTTACAGCTTACAATTTATTTATGCACATTTGAAAAAGAAACAGGACACTTTTTGGCACGATATAAAACCTTATTGAACCATATATATGGTCCTGTATAGAACCACATATATCCTGGGTCAATTGAAAGAACCATCTCATTATGCACAGAACCATTTATGCATTTCTTTATTAAAGAACCCTTGAAAACCATCTTTTTAAGAGTGTGCAGAAATGTTTTCTTTGAGACTTAAAGAAAACCGATTGAAAGTCTTTCATTTTGTTAAAATAGATAAATAAAAAACAACACTACTGAAATTTCTTTTCACTTCCGTATACTTGAGTGGGTTTATATATAGATAATTCTTGACTTTCAAGTATTTGTGTGGCCCCATACTTTCTCTTGTGCATGGATTCGTTTTTTTTAAACAGTACACCTGCTTTCACTTCTGTATTATAGTTTTACGGATTACAGACAAAACGACTGAACAACTGAGATGGAAACAAATTTTGGAAAAATGAAATGCTCTGTTGTAGAGAAACTTGCCCGAGTTGTTCACAGTGGTGGTGATAGGAACCAGACATCCACCTTTAAAATCTCCCTCACAGTTAATAAGAAAAAGTTATTAAATGAAATAGATTAATTCACTGTCTGATGTCTGAGACATTGTTTTACGATAGTTTTGTGATAAAGTTTTTGCTTAAAATGTATTTTAATCACTTTATTTTAATCCAATTCATGGCGGAGGGATACATGCAGGGCACTGTGAGGCAAAATAGTCCCTGAAGAAAACTTAGTTTTTCAGATTTTATCACTACTATCATCAGCACTACATATAAAAATTCATAAGGCCAGTGTAGGTCCAGAGATGGTTTTAGATAATAGATAAAATGCCTATATTTGTGTTGTAGACCTTGTGACCACTGGTTCCTATCACCACCACTGTAAAGAAATGTGAATCTCTACAACGAACCACTTCACATCAAAACATTCAGAATTATACTGTTTACACTTCAAGGACTGAAATGTAGACATTTTGAAATATTGGTGGAATTCCCCTTTAAGGAGTACATAGCCCGGTTCAACTCATGGCTGTACATTTAAGCCAATCAAACGTTGCGGCGGAAATGTTACGATGTTTGAATTCACCAATCAGAACGTACACCGGGACGATGACGATTTTTGAGTAGGCCAATCAGAGCGCTCCTCGCTGCTGCGCAGAGGGAGCAGGAATTACAACGGTAAACGGCACCCTTAGCCACTAAGCTAATCCCCGCCGTTCCCCGTGATCGTTTAGTGAACGGTCCACTCATAAACTGAAAGGTGAGTACAGATCATTCAGAAAGATCATAAACTGGACGCGGACGCCGGTATTGTGTTCAAGGTGGCGGTTTAATTCGTTCGATATTAGCCAAACACGCGCGTTAGCCGAGCTGTGCTAACCTCGCTGAGACCATAGAGATCAGCGTCTGGTTTTCAGGGCTGAACTTATCCCGAATAGAACAGAAACCATCATTAAACGTCGTCTGAAATCTTTTAGCCGTCTTTAACAGCTTTACATGTATTGGGTTCCCGTTATTGCGTTGACGTTATTGGCGCCGGCTCGCTGCCTAATCGGCCACTCAGCGTTGTATGAAATAGTAGCTTCTAGAAACACTGAGCCGCGTTAAGAGCAGCTCGGCCTGTTCTGTGCAGCTCGGTGTTGTGGAATTGTTGTATTTCTTTGACTGAACTGTAAACAGTAACTTAGAACAACGCCTGTCTTCATCTTCACTGCTGGAACTTGAAATCATTGCTTTGTAAGCGGCGCAAAGCTGCGTAGCTGTGAATGAATAACCTAATGCCTGTGAGGAGTAAAGTTCAGGTCAGTGGTTCACAGCCTGTCCTGAACACTGCAGGGATTTCTTTCCTGCTTCTGACAAAACTGATCCGACTCATCATTCCTAATTCCCTAATGTATAGTAAGGAATTCGTGGCAGACTGAAAATCAGTCACTACAGTGCAAACATGTGAAATGCAGTTCACGCATGCCGTTGCTTTTCTATAGCGACGAGCAGAATTAAGTGCCAAAGTGAAAACAGTGTAACAGAGGTTTTGTTTTGAGCACATGAGGATTTGCATTTCTAAAATGAAGTGCTGAGAATTGAATACAGTCTGCCTTAAAATGTAACAAATGCACGAGTGTTGCTTTCCACTGTGCAGTACTTAAAACAATGTTAAATCATTGTAGTATTTCTTTTACTTTTCATTTTGGCACTCATTCCGCATGTCCCCTAAGGAAAGGGTGTGTGTGTGTGTGTGGGTGTGTGTGTGTGTGTGTATGTGTGTAGTATTTCCCTCTTCTCATTGTTATGATTGCATTTCAATCAGTTCAACATGGACAGGAGTTCATGCCACATTGGAAAGCAGATACTACAGTGGGAAAATGTGAAATGCAGTGCACACATGGAAAAGTAGTGCCATAGTCATGTAGTGTGGCTGTCTGTGAATAATGTTTGAGGAGAATAAAGTTTAGATTCGTTATTCTGGACTCCTGTCATACACAGTGCAGTGATTTCTTTCCTGCTTCTAACAAACCTGATTTAACTCATCGTTTCTAAGCCCTTCATGAGGTTATATTGGGTCTATTAGAACAGGAAAACACTGAAGTGTTCCAAGAGGATGAGTACTGGAAAATGCTGATTTAGTGCTGATCAATGCCAATGCTGAACCTCTCATACAGACAGATAGAACTTCATTGATCCCTGAGGGAAATTGCAGTGTTTCAGTAGCAAGACATATAATTGCACAAAAACTTACATAACTATGCAGAAAATAAAAAATAGAAATAAAAATAGACATAAGTTAGGCAGTAATAAAGAAACATATATAGACATAAGTTGAGGTATAAGAGAGTAGGTGTATCTGTTGGCATATTTACATGGCACATAAGACAGATCTATTGTATTTTCATGGTAGCAGGCACTGAGTGGTATGCGGTAGTTTAAAAACAGTGAGTATAGACATAATTAGGAGTATCAGCAGTGTTTACAGTGTAAAGTGTGCAGTGAGAGTCATTACAGCAGCAGTTATGATATATTGCACAGTGTGTATTAACAGGAGTGGAGATACAGTGATGAGGCTCAGCTCAGTTCAGACAGCAGGAGATCAGCACCGTCTCTGCAGTGAGGAGACTCGCTGTAGAGCCGTATATCAGTGGGTAAGAAAGACCTTCTTTCTTTTGTGTGTTTTAGATGACCGGCTCAAATGAGTTCAAGCTTAACCAGGGACCTGATGACAGCATCTCTGCAGTGAAGTTTAGTCCCACCTCTTCTCAGTTCCTGTTGGTCTCCTCTTGGGATTCAACTGTCCGCCTGTATGATGTTGGTGGGAACTCCATGAGGATGAAGTACCAACATCTGGCGCCCGTGCTTGACTGCGCCTTTTATGTAAGTTGTTCACAGTTGTGTTAGTTCTTTCTTTCACAGCACTCTTTAATATCTGTCCTCACAAAGTAATCATTTATACAAACAGAAAACGTGCGCATTAAAAAAGTTTGTTTTTGTTCTGTTACAGGATCCTACACATTCTTGGAGTGGCGGACTTGATAACCAATTAAAAATGCATGACTTGAATACAGATCAAGGTACGTTTTTAATTTTAGCAAAATAATGTGTTGTGGACTTCACTCTAATTTACTATATGATCTATATTAAATGGACTGTAATCACAGTCAGAGTCTAATCAACTATGCTTACTTTTTAAAGACACAATTGTTGGAACACATGATGCACCCATTCGATGTGTGGAGTACTGCCCAGAGGTCAATGTCATGGTAACAGGCAGTTGGGACATGTCTGTGAGGCTGTGGGACCCCCGCACCCCCTGCAACGCTGGCACTTTCACCCAACCTGAAAAGGTACTGAGCTCTTCTTGTTGTTTGTATGTGTATGATTATTGTTTGTTTTGTTAATTAAAACCCAAATAATCTTGAAGTATTATAGCAAGAGCCTTCAGTCTCAGCAGCGTCTGTGTTCTGATAGTTTTGCTTCTTCCTCCCTATTGTAGCCTTTGGATCAGTAGATTTAGTTTATGATTTGATAACTCATCAGTGGTGTAAATGTAATTAATGATGTGATCTGTTTTTAAACGGGAATTAGACCAATTTCAGCTTTTTGGGTGAAAATTTTTATTATTATTATTTTATATATATATATATTTTTTTAAAACTTTCTTGCATTAGTCTTGTAGCTCCAGTGCAAGACGTTGGACACCAAACATGTTTTGGCTGATTGACTACATTTGGGGGGAAATTGGAAATGAGAAATTTCCCCAAACTATGCCATAACCACAGAGACTGCATTATTACCATAGGCTAATGCTGCCTTATGAACAAATAAAACTAGTTTTTTTTTGTGCTGGTTGGGTCATATGAACTTTGAACCATGTGTTTTAGGTATATACCCTGTCTGTGGCCGGAGATCGTCTGATCGTGGGGACGGCTGGACGAAGGGTGCTTGTCTGGGACCTGAGGAACATGGGATACGTTCAGCAGAGACGGGAGTCCAGCCTTAAATACCAGACCCGCTGCATACGGGCCTTCCCCAACAAACAGGTAAATCATAGTGGAGGAGATCCTTCTCTGACAAACAGGTAAACACTTAATACCATCCCGACAATCTACATAGTGGACTACTGACAAGTCGTACTGCACCAACTGGGAAAAAAGAAGTACTGAAGACCCTGCATACTTCATACAACATAAACACCTTTGACTAGAACACACAAGTAAAGCAAAAACAAGCAGGTCTTCACCAGCAATCCCATTAAAGCGTGTCACAAACACACAATACTGCAAATGGGCCATTGTTAAGTTACTACACTGCATAGAATTTATGCTCTGTGGCAGGAAGTCCTTCCTAACAAACAAGTAAAGTAACTAGAGATGCAGAACTTTTATAAGCCAGGATATGAATTGGCTGATTTGCATTCCAAACGAGCAATCCTCTAATTGTTTACTTTTGACAAACTATTTTATTATTATTATCATTATTATTATTATTATTATTATTATTATTTATTTTTATTTTTTTTAATAAAGTAAAAAACATGAATCAGGTGAGTTCATTTATGCAAATGTCATAGCATAATTATGCATGATTCACTGCGAGCGATGCCTTTTTGTTTGGTGGAAGTGTTAATGTTTGGCTAACAAAGAGGTATTAGTGTGTTTCATGTGTTGTCTCAGCCCACAGTGTGAGCTTCAGGTATTTTGACAGAAATAAATGGCTTTTTAAATCAATTTAATAATGGCTCCAACCAGTCTGGCTGTAAAGAAATCAGAATTAGCCCTAAAAAAAATCACGATCTGAGCACCATTACTACTACTATTATGTACTACTGCAGAGTTGAATTACATCTTGAGGCACCAGATACAGTTACCACTGACATGTGTGGCAATAAAAGTATCAGTCATTACTAACAGCATTCAAGCCTTCGCCTGGGCACTCCAGTTCTGCATGCGAAACACTTCATTTGGATGTTTTCCTATAAATAGGCAAAAAACTCCACATAAATTCCACAAATGGCACACAAAGCACACTGCATACACCCATCAGGCATAATATTGGACTATTCTCAGTCCAGCAGTGACACTGAGGTGTTTAAAAACTCCAGCGGCACTGCTGTGTCTGATCCACTCAGACTAGCGCAACACACCACCACCACGTCAGTGTTACTGCAGTGCTGCGAATGATCCACCACCCAAATAGTACCTGCTCTGTGAGGGTCCATGGGGGTCCTGACCACTGAAGATCAGGGTAAAAGGGGGCTAACAAAGTATGCAGAGAAACAGATGGACTACAGTCTGTAACTGTAGAACTATAAAGTGCACCTATATAAAATGGACAATGAGCGTAGAAACAAGGAGGTGGTCAGAATGTTATGCCTGATCGGTTTATTTCATGATGATCCTTCTCCAGGAAACACCTTATATTTTGTATTCATTGTTGGTGCTTTTCAAAAAGGTAATTATAGATTACTATTAGTGATCAGACTATGTTTTTGTATTAGCTGCTGCTTTCCTTTTGCAGTATAGTAAATGTATTGTTTAATCAACAGCATTAACCATGAAGCTGCTTACATGGACAAGAAGAATTTTTCACCACTAATGTAGGCTTTATTTTAGCTGCTGTACAGACTGTTTTTTGACTCATCAGGCCTTAAGCTTTAAGGATGTGTTTGTGTGTCATTCAGGGCTACGTCCTGAGTTCGATCGAAGGCAGAGTGGCCGTGGAGTACCTGGACCCAAGTCTGGAGGTGCAGAAGAAGAAATATGCCTTTAAATGTCACAGGCTGAAGGAAAACGGGATAGAGCTGGTGTACCCGGTCAACGCCATCTCATTCCACAGCATCCACAACACCTTTGCCACCGGTCAGTAAAGGCTTTCACTACTAAATTAAATAAGCCAACTGCTGCAAGCTTGTCATGAACATTCTGTCCAACTTTGATGGCTTGATCGTTCGCTTTGGGATATAATAGCTCGGTTTTTCTTTGTATTTTTACTTTGAATCATCCTGTATTTAGAAGATTAACCTCTAAAACCTCTTAGGGCTGGTTTCCCGGACATGGTTTAAGCTTAGTCTTGGAACAAATTGGTGTGCCAATTGTAAGTCTTCATTAGAAATTATTTTTAGTCCACGGATCTGGGAAGCCGGCTCCAATGCTCAGACTTCAGTTTCTTTATTTTTATAACTACCTAACTTGTCTATTATTTTCGTAGCAGCTACTGAACAATTTATATAGCTACAGAATAAAAAGTCTTGATTATTAACAGAATAATAAGACTAAGGTTAAAAAGAGTACATTTTTTTTTATTGACCAAGGTATATTTTGGTTTTTCCATCTGAATTTACATGACCAAATCGTAAGGCAAATTATTCAGTAACTGCATTAAATAACTGTAAATTTTTATTTTATTTTTGTTTTAAAAGCTCCCCACAAATTAACAGAACGTGTTTTATGATCATACACATATTGCTTTATGCTTACAATTTACTGCTGAAAGCCAAAAATCTTAGACGCTCTTTGTATTATTTTATATAAATAATTTTTACGGAGCAGATCACTGAAGAGACGCCATCTGTTTATAGTTTATAGCCCAGATTTGTGGAAAAATGGGTCGACTTTCAGTAGGAAAAAAACTTGTTCAGCTTCTTTTATTATTAGGGTTTAAAATTACATCACCCATCTATTTGGCTGGAAAGAAGACAGTTACAGCGCTCATGACACCCAGCTTTAGAATGTTTATGAAATATGAAAGCTATGAAGAATATGACGAAGTGCGTTTTGGAACCACCGGTGGTCTCAAGGAGTTGAAAAGGTTAAATCACTTCTGTTTCATTCTGCCACTTGACCTCAACGACCTTCTCAACAGCCTTGATTGGTTCTCATCTGACTTAGTTCACACAGAAACAATAACCCTCAGTGAGTGTATATATACAGTGGCTTTCACACACGTGACCTTGACTCCTCACCTTTCTCCAGGTGGCTCAGACGGCTTTGTGAACATCTGGGACCCATTCAATAAGAAGCGTTTGTGTCAGTTCCACCGCTACCCCACCAGCATCGCCTCGTTGGCCTTCAGCAATGACGGATCTCTACTGGCCATTGCCTCCTCCTATATGCAGGAACAGGGGGATATCTCCCACCCTGCAGACGCCATCTATATCCGCCAGGTCACAGATGCAGAGACTAAACCCAAGTAAGTCCACTCCGATATGTCGCTTATGAAGCGGATGGTTTGTGCTTACAGACGTGGTTAGGACAGTGGAGTTGTCACCAGTGGTCCTGGTCTAATTCCTGAGTCTAATTCTACCTGTTCCAGCTTATTAACTACTTGAGATTCTAACTAAACTCAGCAGGAAAGTAGATTCACAGCACTGCTTTTGAAATTATAACAGATTTGCAGACATAATAACTTAATGTTAGTCTTATACATGATTTCTTGTCCTTTTGTCATGAGGGCGTCTAAAAAGGGGATGTCTCACACAACAAATTCTGGATAGGAGGATCTCTAACCGGTCTAATCCACAACACACATTTGTCATAGAGCAGGGTGCTCAATCCTGGTTGTGGAGATCCAGCACCCTACAGAGTTTAGCTCTAACCCTGAGCCACAACACTTTATGTTGATTTTACAATCTTGGCTGTAAATCTGTCTCAGTATGTGCTGATGTTCTAGTATAGGTTAAAAAATAAAGTATAAATGAAAACACAGACTTACTTTGCTCTGCTTTAAGCTTTAGCTCAGCTATAGTCGCTTTTCTTGCATCTCCGTCAGGAAACTTTTACTCAAAAATAAAATGTTTCTGAACATTTTTCAAGTTTTTCCAAGGCTGAAGTCGCTTCTCATTCACCAGCTTGTTGTTCAAATTTTCCCGTTCCACCTTAAATGGTGCCTGAGGTCCCAGAATGTAACTGCTGCACCATTTAAGGTGGAACAGGAAAATTCGAACAAGAAGCTGGTGAATGAGTAGCGAATTCAGCCTCACGACTTTTTAGTGTTTGACATTTTTTCTCACTGCAGATTAAACATATCAGGAAACCAGCTGGAGTGATTATAAATGTAATAAGTCCATTTGTCTCCAAATTATCGATGTTCATCGTAAATCTTTCTTTTTGTCTTTTCGTTAGCTACTAGTTAGGTGAGACTGTTGTCTGTGTTGCTTTGTGGTCAGCAGTCTGTGCGCCAAGAGGAGAGATGAGGTCTGAATCTTAATCTCATGTTAAATCATAGATCATAGGTTTATCATATCCATCTGCACATATGGACACCTTACTGTACATATTGCACTTTCTGTACCCCCTCTAGCGCATCTTGCACATCTGGACACTCCAAACCTAGTCACTTTATTTCAGTACCAATATCTGTACATATTTATTCAGTATTGTCATTATATGCCGTTACCTGTGCCTCCTTGTACAGTCATTATTGCACTGCCTTTTTCATCTCAGGTTATAGATCTTATTCCAGATTTTTGTATATTTCTATTTGTATATATGCCTGTAGATAGGATTTTTTATATTTATTCTTCCTTTTATATTGTTCACCATTATTATATTATTATTATTATTATTATTACTGTACTGTGATGTGTGACTGCTACTGGCTGCTAAACTTCCTTCGGGATCAATAAAGTATCTATCTATCTATCTATCTATCTATCTATCTAATTTCAGGGTTGAAGGGTGAATTAGCAGTTCTACATTTAACTCCAGCGTTTAAGACCATTTTTTTGGTAAAACTGTAAAAGAGCCGCATGTTGCCGACTCCTGACTTAGACCCTCTGAACTTGGTCTCAGTGTTCAGACAGTTAAGTAGTTATGAGACCTGCTCCTGGAGATATGTTGGCGCTGTGCGGACAGGATTGGTGACCCTGATCTAGAGGATATGTGGCTAAATGAACTGCCAGTGCAGACCAGTTAAGGAGTTGCATTTTCTTTCACCAAAGGGTCACACAGCTGACAGATGCCCTTGGAGATGACCGGTGAACCAAGTTTTTACAGTGAAGCATAGTGTCATCATATGATTATTAAGAAGGGATTTAAGCTTTTGTTTAAGAATGTCAGAAATAGGTGGAGAAATTACAAGACCAGAGGACCAACAGTTCGACCATATAGTAAGCAGCACAAGCCAGTAGCTAGTGTCTTTATTTTTGTGTGTGTGTGTGTGTGGCAGCACTGACAGTAGGTGCGTGCAGCTGTAGTCTATAGATCTTTATCTGTCTCCTTGAAGCCACTTCATATCACTTAGATGATGGACAGATGCCTGAGGCAGGGAGGAAATCCCTCTATCGGTTTTCTACAACTCTTTATTGCTTGAGTTCATAATCTGACAAAAAAATCAATTATAGACCATCAAGGTTACAGGAAGTTATTAAAAGTGAAGTTTGATGTTTTTTTTAAACAGTATTTAAACAGTGTGTCAGTGGAAAAGGTTTTGGCTTATTCTCTCGTTTCGTCTGACGTCGCACTGTTTTGTGGCCGCCATTTTGAGGACTGAGTCAGGGAGTGACTGCGCTGTGCAGTGCCTTCAGTTAGCTCTGCTTTGTGAACAATTGACCTGCGAGACGCGAAAGAAGCCGAGAGACGAGATACGCAGACCTTTAATTCAGTGTTTTTTGAACTGTATAGTTGCGCTGCATTGTGTAGTTTAGTGTGTTTCTCTGCTGTTCACACCTCGTTCAGCTCAAGAAGGGATTAATTAGCTAAAAATATCAGGTATTTTAACCAGGGAAACCAGTTATGCAGTGCAGGGGTTTCAGGACTGGAGCTGAACTCTGCACTAACTGCACTAGCAAACTTACGGAATCACGTCTGTCGAAACTCGACGTTGTTTTCCGACCCACGGCATTTAGTCTGATATTTAACATTTATGTTTCTCCATTCAAACGTCTTTTAAATCTCCAGAAACAGAGAGTAAAGTTATACCGGCTGTCTGCAGCTCCGTTAGGGGGACGACTGTTTATCTCTCAGCTGTTAACATTAGCTAAAGTTATCTAAAGGCCAGCATTGATCACATCTGTGTTAATTAGCCGATGTCGTTACCCTCCTATGATTTTTTTTTTAATTTATTTATTTATTTTTTTTCATCTCTTTATGCAACACCATGGGATCCTTTACCCACCCTGACGTGAAGAGCCGGTGGGTTTCTGTGCTTTTAAATGCTGTGAGAGACTCCAGAATAGGGAGAGGGGCTGAGTATGAGATCAATATAAACGTCAGGAAAACACTAATTTGGTAGCTTTTCCGCCAGGTTAAGTGGGTCCAGGAGTTCAGGGGAAACTGTATAAGGATCAAAGCCTGTTTTATGAACTTTGTTGAGGACGTTTTTTCTCTTTCAGAGTAAGATGATTCATTTTAGCCATCTTTCATGTGTAGTTACATTCAGTGCCAGATATGGCGGCCACAACAGAAACATCACGTGACTGAAACCCTTGGATACATTGATAGTAGCTTGCTTTAAAACATTTTCTGCTTCTCATTCCATCCACTGTTCTGATGCCTCAAAGTCTGGACCGGAAAACATCCGGAAATGTATTCCCCCCATTATAAAGACAAAAAAAATGGGTTTGGCCTGGAAACACAAAGTCCAATTGAATCTAACTGCAGTATCTCAGCCTGCAGTAGTCAATACCACCGCAGCGAAACAACTCCAGAAGCCTTCTATTAGGAACCAATTGATCTGAGCCGAGGGGGCAGCGGGGACGTGTTTAAAGGTGAATCACTGGGTGGAGCAACAGGACGGACTCAGACGGTCTTTCTAAAGCAATCGGGAAGCATAAAGACAGGCAAGTCGGTGGACCTGTTTCTGTCTTAAAGTGGATTACACCGAGCTCCTAACTGGGTTTGCTGTCTGTCTCGCCATGCGGTAACCGATGGAGACCTTGGTTCATTTAGCACGCAACAGCAGCAGCACCCGACCAGAAGCCCCCGTTTGACTCTCCTGGTTTATGTCAGTTGAGGGAATACGGCAGTGCAGGGAGGAGCTATGACTCATTAATGCTCCGATTCTTTTCCAGAGCCATCGGCAGCATTTCATTAGCATGCAGAGGTGCCTGTACAAAACATGTTTCAACAGACGCTGCTTCTGCGCTCTAAAGATGGCTGTAGATACTTTCAGTACATCACCTAGGTCTGTTGTTCATTTGTTGCTGCCCCCCCATCCATTCTTTTTTCCCCCTCATTGATCCAGGATACTTGATTGGTCCTACTTTTAGAGTACTGCCTGTGTTTACATGCAAAGATTGTTGCTGATCCGATTGAATACATTCCGATTATAAGACTGAGGTGTTTATATTCACTCCACTTAACAACCTGATGGAAAATCTCCGTTTACATTCTCACTACAAGTAATCTGATCCAAAATTATGCCACTTAGTGTAGACGTTACCATGACAACCAGCATCACGTGAGTCCAGTCAGAGTGAGATGAGCAGCAGTGAGCAGCGCTTGTGTTTTTAATTGCTTTAAAATGATGTCAGACTCAGGAAAACGTCCTTCACATGTCCTTATTAAAGAAGGCCGAGAGGAGGACGTCGTGTTCTGAGACAAATAAGCTGGACATCCGTCCCACCGCCGTCTTCAGAGCATAAACTTTGTCTCCTCTGCAGACCAGTTTCTGCTCCGTCATGTTGAACGGTATAATCTTTCACTATGACGCGACGAACATGATCAGAACGGACTTAAACTTTCCGATAGGGAATGTAATCAGATACAGGCGTTTACACGGATATTATTCTTCTATTTAACAGATTATTTACAGGATTACCCACCTCGATCAGTTGGATAGAAACTGTATTCTGAATGGCCTCAATCAGACTAGACTATTCTGATTGAAGTGTGTACATGGACGTATTCTATTCCGATTGAGCTATTAGTCACATTATTAACGGATTATCAGCATGTAAACATGGCTAGTCTTCAGTATCAAAATGGTGTAAAATTACAATAATAATAAAATGGTATCGGTGCAGCTTTGCTGTATTATAATTTTTTTTAAAAATGCTGATAGTAATGCTTGTCTCTTTTGTTTGCAGGTCAACCTGAGGCCTCTTCTCATTGGATGGACTTTGAGGAATACGTTCCTGAAGTTTCCACTCTGAAAATGTTCTGCTGGCATCCAGTTGTTCATAAATGCTTCCCCTGCCCTCCTTTTCCCTGTTCTTTTCTTCGTATTGTCTATTTTGTTCTGTCTTTGTCATTAACAAGATGTTAATGTAAATTTTCCTATGCCAGTCTTATATTCTAGTATTTGTAGCCAAAAATGGCCCTGTGTATATTTTCTCTTTATCAAAAATGTCATTTAAACATCCTGATTTTGAAGTGTTACACTCTTCTAATAAAACAGTTAAAAAACAAACTCATGCTTACATTTGGCTTATAATGAATAATAATGGAAAAAAGGACAAAACAGGTTTAAGAAGTATTGATAAAGCAGCCAGTTCTCTCTGCATTCTCTGGAGGTTTTGGGAGGGAAAAAATAAAATTGACTACACAGTTTTATGTTCAGTTGTGTTTTATGACTAGAACATCGTTTTATGCTCAGTTCTGTTTCATTTTTCAGTTTATTAGGTATATAAACATCATATTTGCCACATGAGGTATCATAGATGCCTGTTACAGTAGATGGGGCAACAATATAACATCACAATATATCACTAAATATTGTGATATATATGCATCACAATATTCTGTTTCTCTGAAGTTTGAGAAGTTGGAACTGACCAAAAAGAACAAGTAAGTAAAAAAAAAAAAAATAAAACTAGTAAAAGGTCCCATATCTTATTTTTTTAGATAATATATATATATATATTTTTTCCAAGGTCCTTCAATTGTTTGGCCTGTCTTTTTTTGGTATCAGTGATCATCCTCCAACCTCTCTATAGCTCTTAGATTTAAAAGCTGTTGTTGTTACTGTGACCTTGGAGCTGAACAGGGTAGACTGAATAGGCAGGTGTGTATAAACGTGTTGGTTTTCATCACATCACAAGCACAGTGCATTCAATGTTTGCACTAACGTATACAGTGTGGGGAGTGAACTTTATGTTCTGAAACTTTAACAGTGGGATAAATAGGTGGATGTATGTAAATGTCTTTGTTTTTGTGACATTAAATTATTTCAAAATGATAAAAAATGATTTTAAAATGAATATAAATTATTTAAACGGCCAGAATGTTCATCCTTGTAATTGCAAGACTGTTCAAAGTGTTGATATCTGTTTTATTGTTTTTATAGTGGTAGAAATTCTTTTTTTTTAAATAGGATAATCAAATTGTCAGGTGGTTCAAACACATTAATTAAACCCTTCAAATCTGAGGCTTATTACATAATAAGCCTTGTTATTTAGTAACTACAGGAGCTTCAATGCAAGGCTAAACTGTTTTTTAGGTTGTAGAAGTATGTAATAAAACTCTGGGCCTGCTGGTGGGTCCTGGTTGTATTAGGGGTTAAAATTACTCTGTTTACAACAACTGAAAACAGAAAGTAGTTATTGTACTTGGACACACGGTTATTATTATTATTAGATTTTTATATTATTATATTTTTTGGTTCAAATAAATAAAACATAAAAGGAACCAAATATAGTTCTTCTGGGGTCGCACCACCTGACTGACCATGACGCACAACTGACAGCTTTTATAATATTCCTGAAAGGCCATTTGGGGTCTTCTTCATGATCCAACACCTTCCTAGTCTTTCTTAAAAACATGTCAGAATAGAAATCCTTCGCTTTTGGTTGTGCCTTGTGACATTTCAGGAAATCAGAATTTACAGACAAAATGTTTGCAGTGAGTTTTAAAGCTGCTCTATTTTGCTACATGTTGTCATTTTAAGGGTTTCACACATAAAATGATGCCAAACTGTGTTATTTATAATTTTGTATAACTAAATTACCCTTTGTCTGCATGTATGATTGGACACCTGACATGTTTGTATTTTTTTATGATTTTTTTTATGCACTGAAAATGTGTTCACCTACATGAAATACTGTATAATAATGTAATCTCATGTATTTGTTCAATTATTTTATAGGAGAATAATGGATGCCGTGTCATTGGCCCCGGTGGCAAAACAGGAAGACATCATAAACACCAGCTAAGGACATAAATCATGAAACAAGGCTGTTCAAAGAGGTAAAATCATTATTTTATTTTATTTTTTTTTAAACTGTCTTATGCCCGTCATGGTGAGTCTTTTCACATTAATGTCAGAAAATGTCATCCAAAGTGTTTTTCCAGTATAGCCCCTCCCCTCAGCCGCATGCACACATCCATTTCTCAGCCCCAGTGAGAGCAGATAAAGACTGTAATTATTAAATTAAAGAGATGTGCTTCTTTCTAATGGCCTCTGCTGAAGAGCAGGCTGCTTCTTCAATATCCTGGAAATTATTTGTGTGTTTGGTTAAATGATGTTACTAATTCCTCTGATTACTAGTAATGACTCTGTCTTTCTCGTTTTGTTATGGCTTCAGCTTAATATGAAATGGCATTCATTTTAGGCGTAATTACCCTGCTAAGCCGGAGAGAGAGACAGCAGAGAATCGACTCGCTCCAGACTGCGCTAAATTGCCTTGTTTCCTCTAATCTTTGCCTTCACTAAATTAGAAAATTGAGTTCCTTGGCTGGGCGCAACAATTGGTAGATGTACACCCCCCCCTAGTCACTGCCCCCCCTAGTCACTGCCCCCCCAGGCATTAAGGCCGTTATGCTGCGGTTAGAGGAAAAAAACAGTCATTCAGCAGGGCTCCTACATTAGAACTGTTCACATAAGAAATGGTTTTGCTGTCAGCAGCAGGATGAATAGCAATAGCTGAAAATGCCTGAATTGCTGTGATAAAAAGCTGAAGTAAATTGAAAATCTAATGCATTAACTGCATAATTGGAGAGAAAGGAACTGTTTTGTGTGGGTGAGAGAGAAAGAGAGAAAAACCTTAAATGCATGGTCATATGCCAGCCTGAAAATGACCACAGCTCATAATAGCTGCTGCAGAGGTAGAGCACGGTTCCTCTCTTTATAATGCATTTTGTGTTTCTTTTTAAATGTATTTCAAAGTCATTAGTAGCATTTCAGAGAATTAGTGTGGCATTTGCTTACAGCATTGCTGAAATGTTGGGTAATTTGGTTTGTTTACACTGTTCTATTGCCTACAAACCAGTGTGAATTTGAACCTGACCTTAAATCTTCACTGTATACATGAATCTGGTGATCATATCTGCCATATCTGTATATTAAAATTATTACAATGATTTACTTTTAGGATCCCCATTAGCTGCTATCACAATAGCCGCTATTCTTCCTGGGGTCCAGTAGATCCAAACAAGTCATACAACACACAGGTAAAAAACAGAAGAAAAACAAAAAGAAACTGAGAGAAAAAACACATGAAAAAATGGAAAATAACAGCAGGACAATTTACAACATGAAATAACAGTAGAAAGATGACTGAAAAACGAAAAATTACACTGAAAGAAAAGGTCATTTGGTATTTCTCATAAAGACCTTGTTCCTGGACCTTTTGCATAAGTATTTCCATTGCTGATAAAATTCACTCATGGCTTCCAGGTCCAGTAAAAACCTAAAGCCTTGTTCACACCTGCTATTAATATCTATTCAAATCACGAGACGTGTAGCCGTTAAAACCTGGCATTTCCCGAATGTGACCACTTGTCATCAAATTTTGTGGCCGGGATCACAGTAGAGGTCCTGCTCCCCAGTGCGAGCCCACTGGAGCCAGGTTTGGGTCTATTTTTAAGTTTGTTGTCTAATGAGTGATTTTAGATTTTCCATCTCTGTTGGTGCACATGTGCTAGTTTGGGTTCAAATGTAATAGCTATAGTCGGGCCTTGTCAGGTCAGGTCTCAAAGTTTCATTCCTGTACAGACCATGGAGATCACAATATGTCCCAGGTCTGGGCCTGGATATCCACTGGGTTTTACATGCATTTTAGAGGGGCCCAAGCCACTTAGAAGCGCCCATGAGCAATCACGAGAAAATTTAAACAGCTGTTCTGACTAGTGGTGCCAATAGTGGTGGGAACTTTACTGGCAGCATCAGAAACAATTAACTAATTTGTCCTTGTGTTATTGCTGATCATATTTCCAGTGCTTTCTGTGTTTTTTCCTAAACATCCGCTTCATTTTCTACTCCAATCACTACTTAGCAACTGTTACACTATCACCATTACCTCAGTCAAGGAAGTGGTCAGGGACGTGGGTAACCACCGCAGCCCTGCAAAAACTGGACACTTGATCAGTGGCTTGATTTTTTGGCTAAAATCAGTGGATGGGTAGCTATGCTCACAGTGTCTATGAGCCTGTTTACACCTTGCATTAACACACTTTCATGTCTAGATTGTATCTGGATGTACTTTGGCCAGGTTCCATTTACACTTCTCTTTAAAATGCTTCCCCAGTTTGACCAACTGAGATCTGAATGTGCTTTTCCAGCATAAGCATGTCAACGTTTCTGTTTTACTTTGCTTTTTTTCCCAGTTACAATACGAGTCGACAGGCTTAGCTTAGATGCTTTCATTGTACCAGAGTTCAGAAAGGTTCTTGATTTGGGGAAAACTTCTTTCGTATTAATGTAAATGAGTAAATAATTAATTGAGAAATAGACGAATGACTGAAAGAAGAAAACAGTTTTTGTTCAGTGAGAGTTGATTCAGAAGAGCATTACAGTAGACATGTTGATAATAGATTTGCTTATATGGTTTTGATACTGTATGACACACTGGTACCTCTAAACATGGACAAAAGTACATTGCATAGCCTGAATTTTGTCCATACTCTTGACCATTTTTATATTTGGTCATATTAGCCAACTGTTTACGGTACATTTCAGGTGAGAACATTGAGTAAATTTGCTTTATTTTGCCAAACTAAACTCTATAATGCAGATTCTGAAGTAGAACTCTTTTCAGAGATGCTATATGAAGACTGATCCTGAATCAGCATTTCCATTCAGCACATACCATCCATCCACCCGACAGCTTGGCTGTGGTTGGGCTGTGGTCCGCCGGTAGCCCTTTTGGCCAGGGTTTTCCTGGAGTTCCCACCCCACCACCCACATTATCCCTCAGGCTTCGTTCTCCTCACTGCCCCCTCCAGCAGCTTTTAAAGAGATCTAGCAAGCGACACAACACCTCTTCAAAAGAGCAGCGGTTACATTAGAGAGTAATTAGGCGGCCAGCCCCGAGGCTCAGGGTCCCCTCAGCTCCGTCCACCTGAGCCCAGAGAGGCCACAGAGGACACTGGGGGAGGGAGGGGGGCTGTCAAGGGGCGGGAGAAGGATGACACACAGCCTTCACACCTGCAGTAAATACATCACACCTCAGACTGATTGGGCAGGAAAGTTGC